AATGAAATAGCAATTATCCATTTCCAGTAAATGTTGGACATCATAAGTCTATTTAAAACCACTATCTACAAATCCGCATTAACTATTGAAGCCACCAAAATTTTATGCTAGGAACTAATTACACATTATTCTCAACAAGAGTATGAACAGTGGCACTGAGATGTAGCTAACAAAAATTATTATGTTAATCTTTTCTATGAAGATCATTATGTTGTGTTTAAACATAGTGTGAGATAGAAGTCCAAAAGAAGATATAAGAGAGTATAAAAACCACATGCATAGATATTCCGAGGAGAGAACACAAGATATTAACTGCAGACATTTAGACAAGTGAAAGTATTTCCCAACAGCAGGCAAAACCAACAAAATGAAAATTAGGCAGCAGCAGCCATAACTGACAAGGCAACACATTATCAATTGAAAGCATGCAAACCTGCAGTAAAAAGAGCTTTAAAAATATAAACAGGAAAAAGCAATTTGAAAAACCCTTAACCCATTGTCGCAGGGTATGCTTTTCCAACTGAATACCCAGTTGGATATCATGATTTTTGTCTCTGTGTCTCCCTATAATCTACCGGATTGGAATTAACAGCATATGACTTTCCACAATCTTCACTCATTTTCTAATATGAATTCTCGAGTAATAAAAAATTATGTTATAAACGTTCTTGGCCGTCTGACTTGTATCAAAAACTAATCATACAAAGTTACCGAGTTTCAAGAAATTAGAAAAAAAAAATTATCAGCAAAGACGGGTGCTTTAAAGCTCGACGAGCGTGTACACAGCAAAACAAGAGACCCCGTAATCAAATGGAAATACCTCTAAGAACTCGATTAAGAAGGAAAGTTCACGATAAGAAAATAATTCTAAGAAACTAACCATATGTATTTCAAGAAGTGGCCATCAAGGGGATTGGACTCATTTACATCCTCAGTGATGACAGAATTGTCGGGCCGCTTTAAAAGCATGAACGGCGTCAGCTCGCATCCCACTATCGGAATGTCCGACGGAAGGTGCAACCGAAGCACACTCAACATTTTCCACAAAGCTCTCTAGATTTCAATGGTACAAACTCTTCTCCCGCCACCGTTCCTTCGAACCCTACCCCAAAGAAAGCAAAAACCAAATATTCAAGCACCAAAAGCTGGCGGACTTGTGGCGTATTCGCCATCACCTGTCTGCGGCGCCAAACGCCAGACTTGCGCTCTCTCTCTCTCTCTCCCTCTCCCCGTTAAAACCCAAATAATAAAATTCAGAATAATTAAACAAATATAGCCTAGTGAAGATCTACGGAAATTGAAGGGAATTGAATCGAAATGCAGAGAATGAGTAATTTAGAGGGAATCGATCGATTCGCGTATGTGTTGCATGTAAACTTTGCAGCATAGAAACTTAGAAAGAAAGAACTGAAGTGGTCGATTGATCAATTAAGGGTTTTACAAATAGAGTGAGTGGGAGAATATGAGAGGAGGGAAGGAGAGGTGTCTGTGTGCGACTTTCTTCAGTGTTACAAATTTATAATCTATTATTTCCTATATATAATTATTTTTATTTTTAAATCCGATTTTTCTCCAGCTTTAACTATTTTTTTTTTCTTAAAAACTTAAAAAGCATAGTTATAAAACCCTGCCCGAGCCGGCCGGTCGGTCGGTCGGACCAGAAAGCTAAATTAGTGTATTGAAGATAAGAGAGACTCTACACGTACATGGACCTATTTCAGGTAACACACAGCAGTGCGGCCCGCATAATTTTTTATTTTTTTAATACAGGTGGGGCCCACCCACTACAGTGAGGGACCTGTGAGATCCCTGTGAACCGTGCACCTGTACGTGCATCTTAAATATGAAGGAAAATTACAATATTGGAAGGTTTTTGTACTGTAACAATGAGACGTAAATGTTATGCAAAATTTGAATTGATTTATAGAGAAAAGGAAGCCAAAGGTTGGAATTGCTTTTAATGGAATCAAAGAAAATAGATGGAAGGCAATTTTAGCTTAAAATCCTCCATAGATTGTGCGGTGGTGGGGGATAAGTTTAGTTCACCTGTCTAATTGTTAATTCCCACCCACGAATGTATGTTGAAGTTTTATCTAGTTTTAACAATTCATAATTTATGCACTCAATTTTTTATTACTTTTTTTTAATAATTATTTGTATTTTATGATATATAAAGTATAGCTAAGATTATTAACAATTTTTTCAATATTGGTTAATTTTAATTATTAAAAATGGAAAAATTGCAGCAAAAGTTTTAAACTTTTGAAACTTTAGTAGACTTTCTCCAAACCTTTGATTTGTTGCAATCGTCACCCTAACATTTTCAAACACTGGAAGTGAAACCATTTTGAACGGTTTCCATCAATTTCTCCGTCAATTGATCCAAAGTTAAGTTTGACCATATTTTAATCAAATTAAAAGGGGCCAAAATAGTAAATATTTACTAAAATAATTAAATAAATGGATAATTGAATAAAAAAATTAAAAGAAAAGTAAACATCATTTTATTTACCCATCCCCATTCCCTTAACTCCACAGGCCCTCACTCCTAACCCACAGAATCGACCCAAACAAAATATCACCTAGGGTGTGTTTGGCACCCATTTTAGAGAAGAATAAATTATGGAATAGTGATTGATGGGAAAAATATGTAGTTAAAAGTAAGAAAATTTTTTGGGTTTATGTGTAATATTATTTTATGGATAGAATGTGTAGTTGAAATGAAGAAAGAGGAAAAAAATGAAAAAGAGAATGAATGTCAAACAAGGGCCCAATTCCAATTCGTCTCTCACCATCTGCGCCGGCGAAAATCTCTAAAACCCACATAAACCACCAGTGCCAACACTCACCGAAGATCAATAATTTTTTGGAAAATGTAAGTGATCGAAAAATTTGAAGAAGTGCAGTAAGTTTTTTGGCTTCATCTATCTTTAGTACAGAAGAAGCATTTTAAGTAAATCTTGTAGAGGATTGTAGTACCATTTGAAACCATTGTTGCAAATGTAGGTTTGTTATGGAAATAGATAGTCAGACATTTATTTATAATATCTGATAGTTCTTGTTGAAATGAAACAATCAAGTTATTTACCACATTTTGTGATTCTTTATTCTTCTCTGAAGAGATTCCATTTTCTTTTGAGGGTATGATACCATCGTTGTGGGAGATATTTTTCTGATGGCTTTGGAGGCGGCAAGGTGGTGGTTAAAGTGGTGAAGGGTGGCTCTAACTCCATTTAGGCTTTTCATTTTTTTTTATTATTATTCATTTCTTGGAGCGATTGTTCTTGGTTTAACAAAGAATTGGTGTTCACGGTAGTAATGGTGGTGGTCAATGGCGACGCGTGGCCGTGGCAAATTTCTGATTTTGGGTTGATGGGTTAGACTTGTGGGGGGTAAAGAAAATACATTTCCCCCTTTTTTTTTTGAAGTTTTTGATATAACTTTTTAATTATTCTACGGGGAAAAGAGTAAGTTACCATTTTGTCCTCCCTATTTTGATAGAAAATGGTCAATTTTTTATTTTGTCGGTCAACTAATGGAGAAATGGATGAAAACCATCCAAAAGGGTCTCATGTGCAACATTGGAAAGGTCAAGGATAATGACTGCAACAAATCAAAAATTCGGGAAAAGTCTGCTAATGTTTCAAAAGTCTAGAGCTTTTGCTGCAATTATCCCTAACAAAATATACATAAATCACAATCCATTACTTTGGAGAGCTTTCACAAATTGTACCTAAATCATATTCAAGCATCATGGAGCTCAATGAGAACAACAAATTCCCCAAGATCAATCTTTCTTCCATTCCTGATGAGCATTGAAGCTATTTTACATTAAGGGTCCGTTTGATTGTAATGATAGAAAATTGGTAAAAAAAATATTTTACAGGGAATTGATTTGCTTAAAAATTGTTTTACTGGGAATTGTAATTAATTGTGTTGATTAGTATAATTTTTCATGGAAATGTTGAAAGTTTGGT